GCTTACTTGAATGAACATAAGATGCTGATGCTGTTTTTCTTTCCCCTCCAGGTTACACAGGATACAAGCTTTGTTATCAGGAAGTACTTAAGGTGGTGAAGGGGATTATTCATCAGCCGTACGAGCTTGAAGACACCAATGTTTTTTATGCATTCTCCTATTACTTTGACAGAGCTGTGGATGCGGGCCTTATCGGTTAGTGAACACACACACACACACACACCCTCTTGTACACACCTTATATAATTATACAGACCCAGTAGGGTGTCATTACCCATTCCAGCGCTAGACATAGGCAGGGAAATGTGAGTCACTTGCACCTGTCTCGGGGGATTTGATGAGCTATAGGTGTGTAGGTATTAAAGAAATTGCTATTCTCTGCCAGTCCAAGCTGAAAGGCCACAAGCTCTATTACTAGTATTATGGAAATGTACATGTAGACCTGCTCTTGTAATGAATGGTGTAGCATTTTTAAATGCGAGTAAGATGACCTCAGTCACCTCCGTTGCAGATGAGGTCCACGGAGGGATGCTGGAGGTCAGAGACTTCAAGAAGAGAGCCAAAGAGGGTGAGATGGGCGAAGGAATGCATCATTACTATGACAGATCTGCAGCTCCCTGTACTTGAGACGCAGTGTGCATCTCAATGGAGCTCATTTCTATCTGAAATCTTGCCCTCATCCACAGCAGAATACAGATGACTGATTATTCCTAACACCTAACAGCCCTTATTTATCCTTTTCTCTGCTTAGTGTGCAATAAGATGACCAAGTACCCTCCCATCCACCCTTTCCTGTGTATGGACATGACTTACATCACTTGTCTACTGAAGGATGGGTTTGGCTTTAAAGAGAACACAGTTTTGCAGGTGAGGCAGCATTGTGTAATAAAATTAACAGGGTTCTGGCCTTGGTTATAAGAATGCAAACGAAGCAGTACACCCAACGCACAAGGCTGCGCGGCTTTATGAATTCAGCTATTTATGTTTAGTTCAAACTTGCAGATGAATCATAAGATGGAAACCTATCAAAAGACACAAGCAATGTTTCAAATAAAAAGGTTTAAAATAGCTCCTCACACTTCACAGCATTTTCACAGGCCTTCTTCAAAGAGGCCCTGACACATTAATCAAAGAAGAGATGGTAATATCTCATCCTACCTTTTTATGTTTGAAAATTCACTATGTGCACTTAAAAAAACAGCAGATAAGTGTGCTAACAGAAATTGCAGGGTGAGTTGCATTTCAGGAACCCTCCCCAGGGACTGGGAACCTTTGGATGGACTATTTTCTGATAGTTTCATGGCACTTACATTCTAAAGCATATATTAACACCCAACACCTCCACACAGCCATGCAGGAAGAATGAAGCACAGACAGATTTAGTGCGGATATAAGAAACACTGGTTGCAGCCAGTGGTAATATTCAATCTGCCTTTTTCGGCTGAGAGTTAAAAACTGCAGGCTTAATCTTGCTTGGGGCACCAGCTATAGGCCAGACCTTTTCAAGAAAACTACTGGGTCCATCAAAAATGGCATCAAAATGATTGGGCTGCTGTAAGAAACTGACCAATGAGATTCTGTCTGCTTTGATCATTTTCTTATTTACCCAACTTTCGCTATATAATGCTATCAGATGTAACACCAAAAGAAAAGTGTCTCTGCACTAGTATTGCATCAGTGGAAATGAGATAAAAGACCTTCAGCTCTGACACACAGAGGAAGCCAGTGTAACCTGCAGGTTGTAAAAACAGTGGTTGCTTTTATATCTGTCAGCGGGATAACCTTCCCAGTCTCTGAGGGCCTTTAGACTGCAGAGGAAACATAAGCAACCGATGATTTGAAGGGATCTGTGGACTCCTTGGAAAAAAAAATTGTAAAAAGTTGGGAGTACTTTGAGTAGAAACTTGTCTGTGTCAATTTTCTTTTAATAAAACAAAGGAAAAGAGGCACTTTTACACAAAAAAATTCCATTACCTTTTTTATTTCAGTAAATACAAAAATCCTTTGAGTGATTTGGTGTTTTGTTTTTTTTCCATCCTTAGCTAACCAAGAAAGTGAATAACGTGGAGGCTAGCTGGGCACTGGGTGCTACATTGGATCACTTCCACTACCTGAAGATTCACTGAGAAGTGAGGAGCGTACACTGACAACGAGAAGCTGATTTTAGGTGGCGCTCACTAACCACACTACCTTATCTAAGAGCAGCAGACAGCTGGTGTTGGTTTTATAAGGGCAGAACTAACCTCATGAGTAATTCTTAATTTCTTTTAAAAAGCAATTATTCTCAAGTGTTAATATATTGAGCTATATATGAGCAATGCA